GGGGGGGGGGGGAGAAATCTTCATTTTCCATGTTATTGATCCCATCAATGATCAGAGTAGGCTTTATCCAATTTATCATTATTTTCCACAAAACAGTGCCCCCTATCACGATAGAAATATAACGATTAAGGTTTGTTGTTGCTTCCCTTTATTTATTGTCCCATTTTTCAAACCTCGTCCGCGTAGTAACATTTTGATCACTGTCCAAGCATTTCCCAACCTCCACACATGCATGACCTTTAAAGATTCTTTTTCCGAACATCCCAGCTGACCCAACCCGTTATTTATTTTTTTACTTAGACTTAGTAACTTAAATATTACATTACATTAAGTACAGGCTAAGTATAAGAAGCCACCCTAATGATTGTCGTATCCGGAAATTTGATCGAAAGAAATTTCGTTGACCGAAATTGATCAACGGAAATTTGATCGAATGGAAATTCGGTCGAATATTTTTTAGTTCACATGTTAAAATTTTACGTCAAATTTCTTTTTAAACGCATTATTTTGTTTTATTATTTAGTATAGTGCGTTCAAAAAGAAATTTGACGAACATTTTAACGTGTGGAGTGGAAAAAAGATTCGACCAAATTTCCGTCGATCAAACTTCTTTCGATCAAATTTCCGGTAACCTTACATCTTTTTAAAAAAATTGTTTTTATTACTCCCTACCCGTGGCTCCCAAAATGTTTTATTACTCTCTACCCGTAACTCCCAAAATGTTTTATTAGGCCTACTCTCTACTCGTTGCTCCCAAAATGTTTTATTACTCCCTACCCGTGGCTCCCAAAATGTTTTATTACTCCCTACCCATGGCTCACCAAATTGTTTTATTACTCTCTACCCGTAACTCCCAAAATGTTTTATTACTCTCTACTCGTAGCTCCCAAAATGTTTTATTACACCCTACCCGTGGCTCTCAAATTTTTTTATTAGCAGACATAATCAATAAACTTGCGCTTTATTTTATAAAAAAAACGAGTGTGACCCCTGACCTAAAAACATTAGTTTCTACCGACATAACCGTAGATGACAATGACTCAAGATGTGTCGATGATATGTGATGTGTGGATGATATGTGATGTGTGGATGATATGTGATGTGCAGATTATGTGAGTGTGGATGATAGGGCATATGTGATGTTTAGATGATATTGAGCATCGCAGGAGATTTTTAAAGGCTTATGTGCAATTAACAGCTGCTTGTAAGCTTGAGTTTTAAAAAAAATGTTTTCATGTAGGCCCTAAAACAGAAAAACAGCATTTTTTAAAAACAATTGTTATGTCAGCGATACCTTTTATCTTACACTGGAACTTTAGATAACAAATTTATTCTGTTTCGTGACCCAGCTCTTAATAAACAGAAAAGTTCGTTAACTGAAATAATTAAAATGTGTCCCATTGAAGCAGTGGCGACGCTACACCAGGTCCCGCCGGGTCCCAGGACCTGGTAAAGAAAAACTTGGGACCTGGCAAATGACCTGGTCAATTTTTATTAGTTACTAATATTGTATATATGCTCATAAAGCGTAAACTACATTACATGTAAGAGAATTTATTTGGGACCCCGCCAAATTTTTTTAAGACCTGCAAGGGACCCTCCATGTTAAATTTGATGGCGTCGCCACTGCATTGAAGCCTATGTAAAATCAATTACGCTATTCCAGCCTTAAAAAAATTGCATTTTTTTTTACAATTTCAAGTGTTCTTCTGTAAAAAAAAAAAATTGAATTAAATTAAAATCTCCTTTACCACACAAAAATAATTCCTACTATTGATTAAAATAAAACTTGTCTCTATAGGGCTAAAATAACACACAAAAAGCGCGCGTGTGTGTGTGTGGGGGGGGGGTAGAATTTTTTATCACAGACAAAATGATGTTAACTGAATTCGTACTTAAGCACTACTGACACTTCTGGGAGTCAGTGGGAAGTTGTGGGAAGCGGTCGACATTCTGTGGGAACCTTTGCTAGAAGGCACAAGTGAAGATCCCCCCCCCCCCC